CACTGAGTTCATCTATTCTTCTCCCCAGATCAGTGAGCATCCTTAACACTCTTAGTTTGAACTCTCTGTTGGGTAGGTTGCTCATTTCTGCTTCACTTAGTTCCTTTTCTGGGGTTTTGTCCTGTTCCCTTACTTGGAATGTATTCCTTTGCCTCCTCATTTTGCCTCTTTCCCTGTGCTTGTATCTATGTATTAGGTGGGTCAGCTACGTCTTCTGCTCTTGGCTAGGTGACCTTATGTAAGTGATGGCTTAGGAGGCCTGTAGTGTGCTTCCCTCAGTTCTCAATGTTCCAGGGGTGACCCCTATGTGGGCTACGTGTGTCCTTCTGTTGTGGCCTGTTTGCTCTCCCTGTAGGTGCCCAGGGAGGCTGAGTTATGCTCCTGGCCAGCTACTGTAATCCTCAGCTACTTGTAGTTGTTGTGGGCCCTTCAGTCTCTTTATCAGGTGTGGGGAGCCGCAGCACATTTTGCTGCACGTTTCAATACCACGTTTGTGTTGCAGTATTTCTTTTAAGTGTGTAGGCCCCCAGAGTGGCACCTTGTTAGGCTCAGGGCCTTACAATTGCTATACGCCTCCAGCCTTTAGGTCTCTTGTCAGCTCTCTGAGGATTGCAGGTGGGTGGGGCTGGCCTCAGGCACGGGAGCACCCAATTGTTTCAGGCTTTGGAAGGTGGCCCTATGTGGGTCTTTGAGAAGCACAAGTCTTCTGCAGCTGACAAGCCCTGCTGCCCACAGGTCCACACACACAGTCAACACAGTCCTGCCCCATGTGCATGCCCCGACCTCCTGAAGCGGACCCAGTGAGAGACAGTTTCTTTTAAAGAACAAAGTAAAGAGTTAAGATGAGCAGTATTTATCACCCCATTGTATAATATTCTTTATATTTAATTCATGGGTTTGATTAGCTTTATTGTTCTTGTTTTTAGATTTGCTTTTTTAAAAAATATTCTTAAGTATTCTCCTCATTACAGAGTATAGTAATAGTTTAAATCTTATCCCTGTAATAGTAATATTTATATTTTATTTTAGGGAAGCTATGCGAAATTATTTAAAAGAGCGAGGGGATCAAACAGTACTTATTCTTCATGCAAAAGTTGCACAGAAGTCATATGGAAATGAAAAAAGGTAAGACTAATGTTTTTCTGGTGGATACTTAATCGTAGCTATCACATGAATTTGCAAATGAAGTATTAATATGCAAGTAAGAGGATGGTTTCTATTATTGGGTTATTTTGCAAGTACAAAATGAAAAATAGGGGATTGATCTGTATTGAGGGGGAGAAACAAAGTAAATTGTGGCATATTTAGTAAAGATCATCTGGCCAAATCCCTAATTTCACAAAATGAAATAATCCATCATTTTTCTTTTGGGCCACATGATGTTCCCTAAGTATTTCTGATACATGAGCTTGTTCAAAAAGTAGCTCTCCTTTTGGTGGAAGATGTAGTTTTATAAACAAATGCAACCCCAAAAGTACCATTTTAAAAAGAAGAAAACTAAACAGACCCCTGAATTGAACTAGAGTGATTGTAAAGAAAAGAGCTCCCAGCCCTCTCCACCTTGACCTTGTGCCTGTTCAGATTAAGAAAAAAACAGCAAAACTGAGTAGGTACTCTCATACCACATGAATGTGGGCACCACAGAAATGACCTGTAAATCAGATTAGCTAAAATTAAATTATAACAAAGTGATCCTTATATTTAGTATTTATCACAGTATCTTGTAAATTTCAGCATTTTTGGTGCCTAATTGTGGACTTTTTTTTTTTTTCTCTAAATTTTTTTGTGTGTGTGTGAGGAGGACTAGCCCTGAGCTAAGATCCAATGCCAATCCTCCCCTTTTTTCTTGAGGAAGATTGGCCCTGGGCTCACCTCGGTGCCCATCTTTCTCTACTTTGTATGGGACGCCGCCACAGCGTGGCTTGACAGACAGTGCGTCGTGCGCGCCCAGGATTGCGAACCTGCGCACGTGCTTAACGTGCTTAACGTGCTTAACCGCTGGCGCCACCGGGCGGACCCCTAATTGTGGACTTTTGTTGTTTGCTTTTTCACTTGGTTCCTGGAATTTTCTTGATAATACTTTCTCGAGTCTTTGTCTTTCAGACAGCATTTTTGTGTTAAAGCATTTCATGGACAAAGGCTGCTTGTAGAGGAAGATGAAAGATTTTTTTGGATTGGCTAGAAAGGCACGAAACTGAAGTGGGAGAAGGAACGAAGACTCAGGGTTGGGTCTTGAGTTGAAAGGAATGAGTGGAATCTTAGAGTTTGTGAGATAAAGGAAACTTTAGCGTATACATAAGAGAAGGGGAATGTAAGTATATAATTAAATTAATTTACATGCTAAAAGGAATTAAGTTTCTTAAAGTCATCTAAATCTGAGCTGACAAGAAGGTGAAGCTATTTAATTGATAATTTTATCCTCAAAGAGGATGAACAAGTGAAAACAATATTTAGGACTCATATTATGCAGTGTTCTTTTTATCGTTATTCAAGTTAACTAAATTTCTGATTTTCTCAGCTCCAGTCATGAAGCAGACATTGTTCTGGAAATGCTTGCAAATGTTTTTAAACTTTAATCCTCAGAATTACCTTGTAAAGCAGAGATGTTATAATCCCCACTCTGTGAGTAAGGAAACTAAAGATCAGAGACTTTAAATGTGCCCACGTTCACTTTAGTTAGGAATAGATGGAGCCAGGATTGGAACTCTTGGGTCTATAATTCCGAATTTCTTATTCTCTTCATTGCCCTGATTTCCATAGCCTTCCATTTTATGTTTTGAGTGTTGCTTATTTACAGTAGGTCTTGAGGATGGAAAAGGTAAAGATGCCTGAGAACACAAACTTTGTAACCTTAACTTTGTGTAGGATTATCCCCTTTACCATTAGCTGTGTGAGGCTGGGCTGGATCTAGTGGAAATATGAATATACATGTGTTTATTGTATAGCTGCCAACTTGGGCAGTGTTGCTTTTATTTCTCTGGATTTTTAAAAATGCATTTTAGTACAATTGGATTCATTTATTAACTCATTTATTCTTTATTTCTGATAGCCTCTTAGGTTCTAGGTGCTATGCAAAAGGCTCTTTACTGGGAGTTTTAAAAGTCACTATGTCATTTAATACTGTGGTGGATGACTGAGGGCCAGTGGTGATAACAGAGGAGGAGAAGAGCTACACAAAAAATTACGTCTAAGTCCAGATAAAGTTCCTGTTTGTTAGTCACTGTTAAAAATACATGAGTACGAAGCTATAGTGGCTTATCAAGTTAAAATGTGTGACTTAATGGTTATCTTTCATTGTGGTTGCCATTATTTTCAATTTCTTTCTATTACTTGGGCATGGCCTGGCCAGTATAAAATCCCAGTCAGAGGAAAGCTTAAAGAATCCTAGACTGCAAAGAATGAAGAAAAATGATGAAAAGGCTAGAGTAACTACTTTCCTTTATTTTAACTTATTTATATTATTAAAAATTTGCAAAGTAGACATGCATTAGTTTTACAATAAAGGTGGAAACCTATTAAAATTACTTGGTTTTTTAAAAGTGTTGGTAGTAAGGGACTGCTAATGCAGCCCAGCCTCCTGGATGACTGGCAAGGCTTCTTCTGGGAAGAGATCTTGTCCCTTCTCATCGGTGGAGGGCACAGTGGAAAGAGGAAGGTCTGCTTTCTTTCTTGTTGGTCCAGATTCAGGCCTTTCTGAAAAGCTGCTAAAGCCTAAGGCATGAGGTAACCTGGGGACATGACCACAGTACTCTTGGCATATAAAAGAACTCCAGTGAATGATGCTAGAAATATGTAGTCAAGAAATTTCATCCAAAAATTTTAAATTGTTCTTGATATTAATTTTTGTGCCTAATAATGAATATTTATTTGCATAGCATGTCCATTATCCCATTTATTTCAATGGTTAGTTTTACTTTTTCATTAAAGAAGGTTTTTCCCAGTTGAAAAATAAACTTTTATAAAGATTATTTTTTCTAGAGGAAAATTTCCATTACAGACACGGAAATGCCATTTGACATACTAACATTCCTTCAGGTTTGTGTCAAGGGAAGCAAGCTGTAGTGAAGGTGATAGTGATGCTGTTGAGACAACAGTAAAGCCATTTAGACAATTAGACTATGATTCCAAAGTCATACTGAGAATGTGTGTTAATTGAGGTAACTGTGGTGTGCAAAAAGTTCCTATTTTGGTGCTTTTGAGTTGAATAATCATCAAAGGGTAATGATTCTGCAGAGGTAGTCAGATCATGTAAATGATGTGTTTGGATTTTGTCTAACCTAACTTATTTTATATATTGGGCTGAATCAAAAGGCTTCTTTGAATCTGTAAGGTATTTTCCAGACCTCATCTCAGGATTTGAGGAAAACGTTGTTGAATCATACTCTGAAAATAAAGACTGATTGTTTGAACTAGGAAATGAATAAAATCATAGATGTGTGCATATTGCCACCAAGTGGCAGATGAAAGCATTGTTTGTCATAGTTTTTGTCTAGGCAACAATAGTTGCTTAGATGCAGCTACAGGGAAAGATCAGAAAAGAAAAGACACATTGTTTCATATCCTTTTCTAGCAGCTGTTAAACTCCAAAAGCTGGCCACTTGTTGGTCACACTTTTCACTGAGGATTTGGTACATGTTGACCAACCATCCAAATTCAAAAAATCATCAATTTCACACACCGTTATAAAGGTGTATTTTAATTTTTCTTTTATTAATTGGGTGTCCTTGTTTTCTATCTCCACTCGCTTTAATCTCCTTCTTTTTGTCTGTATTCTTCCTTTTTTTGTATATATATTTATCTTCTATTTGATTATTATATTACTACTGAAGTCTGTAGAAATGAAAATTGATTCATTAGCTGTTTTTTAGCGGGTGGCAATATTGGAATGATTAAAGTATGATTTTGTCATCACATGATATCAGTAATCTCAATGTTTAGGTTATATTGGATTTGCTGTTTGCTTGCATCACAACTTTCTTGAATAGTTGTAGAGTTGATATGAAAAACAAGGCTAGCTCAGAGGCAGTTGAACAGTCTTCATTTTTCTTACAGTTATTACATGATCGGAAAGCGCTTTCAATATAGAACCTTGGTCAGGTCTTGAGTGATAAAGAATTTCTTGTCAACCTGTCTAATTTATCATAGTACTCTTGAGAAAACCAGCACTACCTAGTCTTTTATAGTTTTAGCCCTCTATATTTTTCAGATGTGACATAATGGTACCTTTAATGATAACTCATTGAGATTTGACTACTACATTTGGTACACTCTACTAAAGCACAGCTCTTCAAATTTTATAGCTGGTATACCAATTTGCTAAGGAGTCTTAATATCGGTGTTCAATAAAATACTTATAGGAGACAAGTTTCCAAAATTGATGCCTTCTCAACCTCCCGATAGAGTACCAGCTAGGTATTTGAGTCTGTGCCATGGTAAGCATTGGGTGGCTCCCAGGATTAGAGGCCAGAAAGATCCCTGGTGTAGACTTGAATTGAGCCAACTCTAGAACTAGCCTAGCTAATCCAGGCATCCCTCCAAACTTGGAGTGACCTGGAACTGAGCCCACTACTTCGGCTGTGACCTCTGTGTTCATGGCCACAGTGAGAGTATGGAGACCTGAAAGCTGCTCTGATTCCTTTTTGTTGGTTTAGATAAATATGAGAAGACCCCAGAGGCTTCCCTCCTCACTTGGTTTGACTTGACCCCTACATCCTACTTGGTCTACTGCTCCATTACCTGTGGCTTCATGTCCTGTTGTTCTCTCCTCCTCCTGTCTGCTCCAACCACACTGGTCTATTTGTTGTTTCCCCACTGTCCGATGGAGTCCTTCCTGCTTTAGAGCCTTGCGCTTGCTCTTCCCTCTGCCGAAAAGCTCCTACCCCAGATACCCAGGGCCTAGGTTGTGACTCAGGGTCACCTTCCTAAGGAAGCTTTCCTTGTCCACCCGGGTCTTCTACCTTTTTATGTACCTTTTCCCTGCTTTATTTTTTTCCTTTAGTACTTATCACCAGCTAACAGAGTATAAGTATATATGTTATTTTACTTATTTATCTTTTTTTAATTGTCTGGTTCTCGTGTTAGAGTGTGAGTTCCATCAGGACAAGAAGTTTTGTCTTTTTTTTTTTTTTTTTTAAACTACAGCTGTATTTCCAGTGCCTGGTATAGACTAGGGATGTAATAGACATTTTGGTGAATTAATGAATATTAAATAAACCCAGCTCACTTCTTGTAAATTATATGTAAATTGCCTCTAAAGTAGTCTTTCGTTAGAGCTGAGCAAAAAGTAGGTGCCATCGTATATTCTGATTCAATTCAATCAGTATTGTAGCAGGCACTGAGAGGGGAAGCAAACAAGTAGATATTACTACCTTTAGGAAGCCTGAGAGCCAAATCGAGCCTGACAGTGTCTGTGTGTACATATGCACACATATGCATGTCTACAGTTTTTTCTTTAAGCCTGCACATTGTTGACCTACAAGTGTTAAAAAGCATAAATTAGTTGCCAAATTTTAAAATTAGGAATTTCATATAAAATTTCATTTCAGGCATCCACAATTGGTGGATGTGACCAACACTAGGCCCACATACCCATACTTCAGCAGTGTAAGTGGGTGTGCACTCACATGCCTGCCGTACCCTATTGTTTCCTTATCATCAGAGTCACACACCACTGGCTGATTATCATTGCAGTTAAGCTCTTGTTTTTCTTACAGTGGGCTTAAAAGTATTAAGAAGAATTTTCCTATACTCATAACTATGCAAAAAGTGGGATAAATGAGGGCACCTACTTCTTTGAGTAATTAAAGGATATTCCTACTTATTTATTGTACACCTGGTCCACCCATTTGTGTTACTTACCTGGCTACTATTTGAGTTTACTTGCTACTATTTGGGTAGGTATTTGAGTTTTCAGGCCCCTTGATGAGACATGGTGTAAATGTTTTTAAAGTACTTATAAATCAGCTTGTGTAATTGAGCAAAAACGAATTTCATTCTACATAAGGACTGGATTGATGGTCTGAACTAAGTAAAATATGGGGTTCCAGCTAGGCTGTGAAATAGATATTTTTTAATTACTAAAGAGAAGATTATAAGGAAGTTATTCTAGATGGGAAGAATTTGTGAGGGTGAGTTTTTGGCAACTAGCAAAACAAACCTGATGGTAGTCTGTGAGTTAAAGAATGCAGTGTAGGACCGGCCGTGTGGCTTAGTGGTTAAGTGCGCACGCTCCGCTACTGGCGGCCCGGGTTCAGATCCCAGGCACGCACCGACACACCGCTTCTCCGGCCATGCTGAGGCCACGTCCCACGTACAGCAACTAGAAAGATGTGCAACTATGACATACAACTATCTACTGGAGCTTTGGGGAAAAAAAGGAGGAGGATTGGCTCTGTTAGCTCAGAGCCTGTCTTCCTCAGCAAAAAGAGGAGGATTAGCATGGATGTTAGCTCAGGGCTGATCTTCCTCACAAAAAAAAAAAGAATACAGTGTATTGTTCTTTCCGTCATCCACATACACCAGGTGTTCAGGGTGTAAGATATATAAAGCATAGTAATCCAAAGATCCGTTTTGCTTTTAATTCTTGCTTAGTTTTATTAATATTTTGAAAGTTTCTGCTTTGGGCATTGCTCTAATTCAATTTTCCAGGTTAATTACCAAATAAAGTTGAGTGTAATATCCATAACAATAATGTCGTTAATTAATAATAACATCCTTTTGAGTAGACCTTAATCAGTAATTGCAGATTCTGTGGTGATGTCTCATGTTTTGTAACATGTTAGAATACGTCGGATTTGCTGAACTCCGGTAGTTCAGAACTCTGAGCTATGTGAAAATTTAAAGAGAGGTTCTTGGCTCTAAAAAGTATCTTGTCTAACTGAATGCATAACTCCAATATAGAAGAACCTTACCTGAACAAGTGTAGTCTTTGTGGAAGTCTTGATTTCTGTGCTGTGGACATGATTATTTGCATTATAAGAGGCTTCACCAAAATGTTTCATTAGGAGGTAACTTAGTGTAGTTCAATATGATTTTGTATTCATATGTTCAGGAAAAGGAAGTACTTTCTTGAATCTAATTGCATTGTTTGTGTTTGGGTTGTGTGTTTTTGTTTTTTCATTTCAGGTTTTTTTGCCCTCCTCCTTGTGTGTATCTTATGGGCAGTGGGTGGAAGAAAAAAAAAGAACAAATGGAACGCGATGGTTGTTCTGAACAAGAGTCTCAACCATGTGCGTTTATTGGAATAGGAAATAGTGACCAAGAAATGCAGCAGCTGAACTTGGAAGGAAAGGTAAATTAAGACTATGCTGGTTCCCTGTAAAAGGCACCATGATCCCAGAAGGTAGTTTCCTTATTTGTTCTTTTGGTAGTGATTTTTTTATGGCTGTTGGTAGCAATTTCTTGAATGTATATAAATCAGAACCAGAAGTAAACTTCTCAAATAGCTGTGTTCTCATCATGATTCATGGAGCTTGAGCTATTGACATCTAAAGGTGGCACACAGCAAGCTTCCTCTGCTTGTTATCAGTTCTCGCAGGCTATGAATCAGATTGCCACTGGAAGTCAATCATAAATTTAGGAGGCTAATTGCTGATCTGTCTGACAGGGGTTTGATACTCAAATAACAATGAAAATACATAGTTCAATAATGTTTTACTCTACTCTCTTAATCTTAGTCTTATACTAGAATCAAAGCGATACAGATTAATTCTTAGAAGCATTTACCTGGGTTATAAATATCATAAATGTTTTACTTAGCTTCATTATGGAGCAGAACTATGCTATAGACAAGAACAGCCACAATTAGCTTTATTCACACTTTTGGGGACTTTCTTTGATTATTTTGCCAAGGAATGAAATTTGTGAATTAGTTTTACTAATTGTGTTTTATGAATTTAAAAAGCAGTCCTTTCAATCTGTACCTTCAGTATTCAAAAATAGTTCTTTATTGTCTTAGCATTTAACTATTATTTTGTTTTTCCTTGATATTAAAATAAACTAACAATGGTTAGTTCTGATCTCAATGACCACATGAATGTCTTTTAAAATAGTGCATAAAAAGCTATTTCCTCATTCAGTAAATCTTTGTTGAAGATCTTAGTGTTTGCTGTGTTGTAGTTGACACTAAGGTTGAAGGTAGTGAGCTAGGGAATTTGTACTCTCAAATTCAATTTTAGTCATTTTACAGATTATGAGCATTAAGAATAAGCCTTAATATCAACCTCCTTCAGATTTGAGTATTTTTATGTCATTTGTATTTTTATAAATTTTATTAGTAAGACTTGTCAACTATTTATTTTAAATTAGATTTGGGATAACACTTATTATAATAAAGGTTGTTTCATGGAAAAAGCAGTAAAAAATATTTCTAAATTATGGCCCTTCCACCAAAAATTAAAAGGATTTAATGTTTTGGTTGATTGGCCTTAGCCTTGTCTCATCTATTTTCCTGTTATATGGAAAGTCTCAGAGCTGTATGTCTCCAAGCTATACATCTAGACATTGGGAACTATGAATGATTAATGAGATCAGATAGGAAGTGAGATCCAGGGATTCTAGCTACCAGTGTAATATAATTGCATTGATTGCACTTCTTTGGTCACTTGAACCAATTCTAGCTTCCAGCAATTTTAAGGGAGGTAATACCTAACAAACAGCATCCCCACTTGCCTTCCCCAGCATCGGATCTTAGCATGTCTTTCTTCAACTTCTACCATTATGTCCTTTCCCCAAGCCCTAGAAATTTGCAGAAGAGGAAAAGAATACCTGAGAGTTCAAGCATTAACTAGTAGTTAAAACACCTACTGATAGGTAGTGCAATGTCTATAAGCCAAAATTATAATGTTTAGTTTTAATGAAAAATGCTATTAGAGAAGTCTATATAAAGTAAGACTGTTGAGAGTTAGCAGAAGGCATTCCAGGCAGAGAGAACAGCATAATCATGTGATTGGAGCATAACGGTGTAAGAACTTGGGCCCAGTTAGGCAAAGATGGCCCAAGCCTTGGGATGCTGAGCTTCAGAAAGAGGCACTTTGCTCCTGTCAGTCTCACTTAACCTCCATTCATTTAAGGTAATACTATTTTCTTTCAACAGTCTGTTCATTGAATGGTACAATTAGTCAATATTGAAAAAGAAGGGATATTTATTTTGCATTATTGACTATTTGTACTTAATCATTACAACAAAGTTCTGGTTTATATAGCCCTTATTTTTGTGGTCATGACATTTGACTGAATGTTGTTAATATTTTGGATCTGAGATTTCATTTAATGATGTTTTTAATTTGCTAAATATTCATTTCCTCAATTTTACGTCTTATGTAGTTGGAGCTAGGTAAGCTATGCAACATGAATTACTTTGCTAATTAGCACACTGTGTTTTTCTTATTTTTAAAAATTACATCCCCTACTCCTCTCTTGTTAGCATTGTTTTGTTTCTATAATTCAAATTCTACAATTCAAATATGTCTGCAATAATAGTTCTAATAAAATTATCTCACATATGATTTTTTGTGGATTCAAACTACTCACTTGTGTAATTAGGGATATATTTCTTTTCCTTCTAAGGAGATATGTGTGTGTTTGCTTTTTCCAAACAGAATAAGCCATTTGTCTGTAGGTCTTATGATCCAACCTTCTCTGCTCTTTTTTCCTTTCATGTTTGCCAGTCTATCTTATCATTTATGCTAGATTTCAGTATTTTCTTTTTTTTTCCCATGTAGATCATATTCCTTAATGTTAACTCTCAAATTAAGGGATCGCAACATTTTTAAGTTTTCCCATTAGAATGTAATTGCTTTAGTTTAGATACACATTTTCTTTTTGTTCCCTGCAACTGGCTGCTTTAGTATATTAATACTGATTTTTCTAGACTTCGTCTTGTCTTGCAGAACAATTCCATAGTTTAGGCTTTCTTTGACCTTCAGTGCTTTATAAAGTACAGCAGACCCAGGGCTCCTGCCACAGCATCTCTGGGCACTTGGAAATCATTGGGTGAAAGGAGCTGTGTGAGTTCAAAGTGCTATTGTTTTTATTTTTCTTATTGCTATTATTAGCTGTATCTTAATTTTGCCTTCTGCAGAAAAAACCTCTCAAAGCTTTTACTACACTTTTGAATTTATAAAAACTTAAGTGTAAAATATTCAAAATGGCACCTAAATTTTCTTATATAACTTTGCTGTTGAGAAATGAAATAAACTGTGGCATAATTTTTGTTCTGCTACTAAAATTGCCTGTGAGTAAAATTTTAAAGATTAAAACCTAGAGCACATTAGCTATTCCCTAAATGAGTGGCATTTACCTTACTTTTTAAAAGAGACACAGCAGAGGTAGTCAGAGAAACTGTTTAGCCTAATTTTAAAGTAGAGCATTGATTTTTTTTTTTTTTTAAATATATAATTCAGATATTTTAAATACTTACGCTGTGTTTGAGCATTGTTTACCCAGATCTGGAAAAGGAAATCACAGGGATCAGGGGAAGAGACAAGATTTTAGTATTGAACTAGGAGCATTTCTAAGTGTCTTTTGCTATTTTGCAAGTGCTGCAACTCTTTAATCCTGTCTTTTCAGAATTTATTTTCTGGTAAACTGATGTAACACCTTGCTGTGTTTATTTTCTCTAGTACCTTTAAATTCAATTCTTTTGGTGATACAATATGAATTATCCCATTGGACGAAGTTAACCATTTTTTAAAAATAGTTATATAAAGTATACTCCTAATCCCTTTCTGGCATAAAATATTTTATAATCATCCAGTTAGTCTAACATTGTTTTTCTCATACTTAACAGGGGGTCACTCTAGTATTCAGATGTGTAAAGAAAAACATTGTGTGCACTATTTTGAGAAGGACCACTGCTAAAATCTTTTCCATAATTCAATTGAATTTTGGTAGACTTCTTTATATCTTTTCTTTGCCGAAAGACAGTCATGGATTTTTTTAACTGTAGTCTTTTTAAAAATTATGCTGTAACGTTGATAATTTTGCAAAATAGATGTAGAGCTATATAAAACAAGAAACGTATTTTTAAGACGGTCTTTTGCGAGCGTAAAATAGATCACAATGTTAGTATTTTATAGACTTGACAAGGGAAACTTTGTTTTCAGAGATCAATTTCAGTAATTTTTACAATTGGTTTTATCAGCAATTCATTGAAATTGTTGCATTTAAGCATAATCAAACCTTGTTGCCACAGCCATACAGAATTCTAGGTACATAACCAACAAGGTTTTGGTGCTATTAAAGCTTTCCTTTTCTTTCACAGAACTATTGTACCGCCAAAACATTGTACATATCTGATTCAGACAAGCGAAAGCACTTCATGTTGTCTGTAAAGATGTTCTATGGCAACAGTGATGACATTGGTGTGTTCCTCAGCAAGCGGATAAAAGTCATCTCCAAACCTTCCAAAAAGAAGCAGTCATTGAAAAATGCCGACCGTATGTATACTTGAGTTTTCTTTTTTGTGCCCAACTGCCAACATGAATTAATAAGACAAATTCAATGATTTTTTAAATTAAAAATTGCTTTTCGGTATCCAATTCATTCTTTACCAATATTTTTATGGCCCTCACTTTGTCTGAAAATGTCACATTCAGTTATTATCACTGCTTTATTTTCTTCTTTTTTCTTAATTGAAATTGACACTATCACTTCAATGGTTAGGGAAGTGGTTCTCAGCCAGAGCTGATTCCTCCCTGCTCCCCAGAGACATTAGAAAAAGGGGAGTTTTTTCCTTTTGCTGTTATTGTGACTGGAGGGAGTGATGTTAGCATTGGGCGTCTTGGGCCAGTGATGCTAAATGTCCTGTGATGCCCAAGATAGTTATTATTCCACACAGAGTTGATCCACCGAGAATGTCAAAAGCACCCCTTTGAGGAACACTGTTATTATATCAAATGGGCTTTGGAAGGGCATTATGAGAACCTAAACAAAATTTTTAACATGGTTGCTCTGAGACTACTGTCTCATCAGCAAGTTTTTGTACTACCAAAGATAATGCTGTTTGAATTACACATTTCAATCCCTACACCCATTTTTCATTTTTCTTTTCTTTTCTTTTCTTTTTTTTTTTTTACTTTTTAGTATGAAAACTTTCAAACTTACGTTAAAGGGAGAAAGTGGTATAAGGTGACCGTCCGCCTGGCCTCAGTAGGTTTTACAAATTCTGCTTCATTGTCGCCATCACAACCAACACCTACCTACCTCTTCCTCCAACTGCTGAAATTTTTTAATGTAAATCTCAGACATCCTATCCTTTCAACCATTTCTGCAATAGTGACTCTCTAACATAATTTTCTTTTTAAACATCATTACACCTAACAAAGTTGACAGTAGTTCTTTAATGCCATCTAACAGCCAATCCATGTGCAAATTTATCACATTGTCTCAAAAATATCTTTTTACAGTTGTGTTTTTGTTGTTTTGTTTTTTTTAAACAGTTGGCTCGTTCAAACCTGGTCCAAACAGGTCCATATATTTGAATCTGTAATCGTTTCTTCTCTCTCCCTCTAACTTGTTTTTTCTTTCATGTCATTTATTTGTTGGGGAAACTGGGTAATTTTTTCTGTGAAATTTCCATATTCTGGATCTGGATGATTACATGTTTCTCTCTCGTATTTTCCATAAACTGATGGTTAGACCTAGAGATTTTTGTTTTAGAATCAGCTGTTCTATATATGTTCATTTCCATCTGATCAGAAGTCGTATAACATCTGGTTATCCCACTTCTTGTCATGTTAAGATTGGTTATCATAACTTGAGCTGTTGTTAGCCTAATTCATCATTATAAAGTTCCTCAGCAGCCTTTAACCTGATGGTTTTAGTAGCCATTGATGATGGCTGCTTAAATCCAGTATTTCATTAAGGGCTGCAAAATGTTGATTTTTCTAATTCTTTTATTTGTAGCTTCTGCATGTGTTAGCTGTTTGCTTCAAATGTAGTCTATAGAGAAAAGGCAGGATAAATTCTTGTTTACTAATTTGCAGAATAGCAATGGTATTTTTCGAAGATGATGAGTGAGGTTTTAGGATTTTTGTTTTGTTTGCTTGCTTTTGTTTTATTATGAACTTATGAGTTTTTATATATTGGATGTTTTTAGTCCACTCAGTCATTGTTATTGTCATCATTTACTTTATATTGTGGAAATTTTCAAACATACTAAAGTACACAGTTGCATAATGAAATGAAACCTCTTGTGTTCATCCTCTGACTTCGACAGTGAGCTTAACTTCAGGCCAAGCTTAATTCATTTTCATCTGTATACCTACCCTGACCCCACTTTCCTCTCCCCTCATTTTAGTTTGATGCAAATCCAAGACATCATATTGTCTGTAAATATTTCTTTGTATCTCTGAAAGATCTCTGGTTTTTTAATATAATCACAATACCATCATAACATAAAAACAAACATAAAACAACTATAAAAAGAAATAATTTCTTAATGTCATCAAATACCTAGTCTAAAATGTCTTTTTTTAGCACATTTTTTGAATCAAAATTCAAATAACGTCCACCAGATATTACAATATATGTTGTGTTGACGTATCTTTGAGTATTTTTTGTCTATGGATTCCTTCTCCATCTCTCGGTTTCTGTCTTTTCTTGTAATTTATTTATTCAAAGGACTGAGTTATTTGGCCATGAGAGATTTCCACATACTGGATTTTGCTAATTTACTTTCCTTGTGCAATTGAGTGTATTTTCTGTAAATTGGTAGTGTCAAAGAGAAACAGAGCCAGACACTAGTTAAAGATGGTAAAGACAGATTTTATTCAGTATTATTGCAATAGGGAAAAGTATAGAACTAAACTCAGTTGTGAATACAACAAGGACAAGTGGGGATTTATAGCCAAGGAGCAGAATGAGGGGAGTCAGTGAATGGAAAATTACTAAGAGGGTAGGGGGATTCTTGGTAAAGGTAGGCCTAGGTGATCAGATAGAAAGGGTGGGGAGTGAGGAACTTTATCAGATATCTAGGGTGGGAGGATGACTTAGCTGGATTCTTGCAGTAACTGTGCAAGGCAGGCTGATGACAGGGCCCAAGGAGGAGGCCTGGTGCAAAAGAGGGCTCAGAGGAGCCTGTCTGAAGTTTGGTCGAGGAAAACCTCTTTGTCAGTGGTTAATTTAGAAGCTTGATCAGATTTAAAATTGTTGTTCTTTGGGTTTTGTTGTTGTTGCTGGATGGCAAGGCCTACGTCATAGAGGTAGAGTGTTCCTGCGTCAGGAGGCATATAATGTCATGCATGTGTTCAGGCTGTTTCCAATTCAAATTACAGGATTTTATTTAACCTCTTTAACTTTGTATTTCTATTGACTGTAAGTTTCTTAATGTCAGAGAACATACTTCACTTTCAGAATATTTTCCTGCTTGCATAGATGTGGTGGTTTTTTTTTTTTTTCAAGAAATTTCATGTAATTGCTGTATTTTAAGGTTTACATTTAGAAGAAATCAGAATCTCTAAAATCACAATATCCAAAGGCAATTGCCATCAACTTTGGTAAAGATCCTTCTAAGACCTCTCTCTAGGAATCTATTCCACAGAAATGGATGTGAACACCTGGAAACACATGCAATCATATAAAAAAATATATACTTACCTAATAGAACCACAGTATAGAGTGTTTTATAGTCTGCTGTTCCATTCAGTGATAATCCAGGGAGATATTTTCTTACCAATGCATTTAGATACACATTATTTAAATAGGTGAATGACATGATAATTTAATCAACTTCCTACTGTTGGATATTTATTATTTTAAAAATAATTTACCTTTAATAAACAGCACCGCATTTAACATACTGTGTAGCTCTTATTTAAAAATTACTTTTATGGACATATTTTATATCTTTAGCTTGACGCTATTAATGCAAGTTACCTTTTGGAGGGGTATCATCTGTATTTTCTTGGAGGGTTAAAAAAATTATTAGCAGAATCTCTTAATTATTAAATTACAATAAAGAATAATCATAACTCGCCGGGTACGGGTCCCTTCTTCCTCCCCTTCCTCCCCAAATCACATAAATAGGAGCTGTTTTTCATTTGCAGTGTGCATCGCCTCAGGAACAAAGGTGGCTCTGTTTAATCGACTTCGATCCCAGACAGTTAGTACCAGATACTTGCATGTAGAAGGTGGTAATTTCCATGCCAGTTCTCAGCAGTGGGGAGCGTTTTACATTCATCTCTGTAAGTATAAAAATGTGCATTTGATGTTTTTAGTGTGAAATCGTTAAATTCTTTTTGATAATAAGATGTACGGATGGATATATTAAATGTGTCATTTTCCTAAGCAGATTAATGAATTCTAAAAGATAATAATTTGATCTCCTTTTCCACTCTACTGCAGTGGATGATGATGAATCAGAAGGAGAAGAGTTCACAGTTCGTGATGGCTACATCCATTATGGACAGACAGTCAAACTTGTGTGTTCAGTTACTGGCATGGCACTCCCGAGATTGGTATGGCTCTCCTTTTGCTTTAATGGCAGTGTAGTAAAAATTAAGAGAACAGAAATGCCACAACATTCAAATGGAAAAATAAACCTCAGTTTCATGCTTTTTAATGTAAAAAGGTATCTCAGTAATCACTGTTAGTTATAATTGGCAATTATATTCCCACCTTATTTAAAAAACGCTTTAAGGCAATTAGCCAATGTTTAGGAATGCGTTCTTAATGACTTCCTGTTATACTATTTCTAATAAATTTTGGTAGTGTTTTTCTTTTTGGTTGTGTAATTCATATTCGATAGAGGGCACTGTAAAATTACATTATGATTTCTTGTCTTAACTAACGCAGATAACTCTGTATCCATTTTTTGCGATACGTGCTGCATCCCAGCATAGGACCAAGTTTTGAAAACATAGGAGTTCTTATTTCTTTAAAAATATAAATATAGGGGCCGGCCCCGTGGCTTAGCGGTTAAGTGCTCGCACTCCACTGCTGGCGGCCCGGGTTCGGATCCCGGGCATGCACCAACACACAGCTTCTCTGGCCATGCTGAGGCCGTGTCCCACATACAGCAACTAGAAGGATGTGCAGCTATGACA